TGTGTGTGTCTGTGTGTGTGTGTGTCTGTGTGTGTGTGTGTCTGTGTGTGTGTGTGTGTGTGTGTCCGGTTTTCCTGTGAGGACCAAATGTCTCTGGACAGTAAAACGTCAAATCAACATTTGGAGGAGCAGTTAACAGCCCCTATGAGGAAAATAGCTTAAAGATGTAATGAAAATGTAAAAAAGTTGATATGATTTTTTGTGGGATAGAAAAATCTATACGCCTGTATAAAAACAATAGAAGTCAATGGAAAGTCCCTATGATATAGTGTGTGTGCTGAATTATCCACCACTTGTGCTTTATGCATCAGTTCTTTTATTGCTGTCAGACAAATTGATTGCATTCATTACTAACTTTTTTTTTTTTTTAAATCATCCCACCAGATTTTTCATTTCTTCCCCACCAATATTTCAGCAATGGCTCTGAGGCCTGTTAAGAGGATTAGTCTCAGGTAAAGTGAAGTAACTTAACTGATTTTGCCAAGAACATGCGTCACTTGACAAGAATTTCAGAGTTGTGCAGTGACTGGCATTGGATTAGTTTGGAAGAGAATGTTTTGATCCATTTCATTACTCTATTCATATTTACTTTATTTAAGCCAGAACTGTGACCACTGAGCGCTACTCAAATGCTGAGGTGTCAGCTGTGACTGAGGTGTCTTCAGTATGGCAATTCTGCGTACTGGAATTTGTCATCATAATTGTAGTGTCTGCTGACAGAATTGAGAGTTGTTACACTGATTTCAGTGAATGTGGTGGGTACATGATTAAACCATTTTGAAATGAAATGTGGTCTTTTATGGTCTGCTGATCAGAGCATTGAATGCAAAGTGAGAGATATAATGAGGTAATGAGATATCAGATTTAGTTGAACCGCAGAATTGAAAAACAAGCCAAAGACTCACACAGAGTGATACTGTAGTGTGTTTAGTTGTCAAACATACATTCTTAACTTCCTTGCTTGTTGTTTCCTTTCAGGTGTGTACTATTCACTTTCTATTTCCTTATACACTGCCATTCAAAAGTTTGTTGTTTTAGAAAAAAAATCATACTTTTATTCAGCAAGGATTAATTAGATTTATCAAACATGACAGTAAAGCCATTTATAATGTTACAAAAGATTTATTTAAAATAATTATTTTTTTCTGAAAAAAAATTGTTTTTTGTCACAGTTGTCACAAAAATATTAAGCAGTAAC